AAAAAAAAAAAAAACACCTTCTGCTCATTAACCTTCCTCAACTGCTGTACATCCAATATCAATCTTCGGTTAACATAGTTTCATTAATTTACAATTACAGTGTATAACAGTTAAAGAAGCAACTAAGATCGGATACGACGAACTCCAGAGCCGCAAGAACAGACCAAAAAGCTGTCAACAAATCCGGGACACCACACTGTAATGTTTGCAGGCAGTGTAACTGTAAAAATGCATATTGCTGAAGACAAAGGCAACAACAATACGTCACTGGGCGGCAACATTGCGTTGGTTTGGCAAAGTTCCGAAAAATTCGAATTATTCCGCTCTTCGGTCGTATCAAAAGTTTCATGCCTTTGCCCCCTAAATGTTCATATGCTCTAACAGTGCACTGGCTACTTCATTGTTATATGTTTATAGTTGTAACCAGGCGATAAGTATTGAATATGCTCTTCCAATTTTTTTTTCATTTATATTAGCTCTCTTTCTTTTTTTCAACAGGAAAAGAAAGAGGAGAGAAGACTGAAGGGAAGATAGCCAAGAGAGGAGTGTGTTGTTTTCAGCAGTAAGTGATGGGTTCCGTTATGCTTATAGGGTATCATTCTTGGAAATATAATTTTTTTTCCTGTTATTTTTTAAGAGACTTTCATTTATGCTGTTAAAATAAAACCACAGTTTTTCTTGATCAATACTGGAAACATTTGGTGCGTTCTTCAGGATGTTTGATGAAAATAACTTCAATTTTTGTTTTCTCTTATTTAAGATATTGCGATAAATGTTGTTGTAGTTGTTGATAATTATTTCATTCGTTAACGTACTGAGTCTTATGGTTGTCAATACTATCGTATAGTTGCTTTCAAATTTATTTTTGATTGGATTAAATGTATCTTTGAACATTATATTAATGTAGAGTTGAAGCCTATTGAACATTTACTATATTCGAATATAAAGATTTATTGTGTACTTTATGACATATGTTGTAATTTTTATTTATCGACATTTATCTTTGCGTCTAAGTAGTCTTACATCTCAATTTTTCAATAATTTTCTTTTACTTTTTATTTACTTTCATTTGCAACAGGCATTGTTTCTGTTGTCGTTCCAGGTATGCCATCCGATAGTCACACCTCATCTAACTACAAAAGAACCGATATTGATGGCGGTCCACCAAAAGTTTCAAGCAATTTAACAGATACTCCAGGTGGATATGACTTATGTGTCTATGGTTTTCGTTCTGATCGAGTTAGTCGGTCACTAAAGTGTTTTATGTAAAGCTTGTCGATGAACCGTTACTAAGCTTCAATTAGCTCAAAAATAAACTGCCACTGGATTTAAAAATCTTTAATTTTTTGGCAGACTGTTTAATGTAACATATTTTCAGAAGTAGAGAGACGTTTTATTGACGGCAAATGGTTTTGCGAAGACGGTAACGGCGGATATTTTGTTTATGAGCAAGATGAATGGAAGCAGTTTGAAGGTGGTGATATGAATGAGAAGTGGGAGAAGGCTAAGCCAATCAATCCCAATCGTTGCGTTATTGACGGTGTCCCGCATGAGTGGAACGAAGCGGCAAAGCAGTGGTTCCCTCTTGTAGATGTCAGTCTTTTGAAGTTTAAGCATTCTTTCAGTGCTTACACGGTGTTGAAATATATGATTCTGTCATTCCCTTTCATTTGTCTTGTTTCAATTTTTTAGGTAGCCTAGACGACTGTAAACACCTGAGTTTGAGATCTTACCTTTATGTTTATCTCTTAAAGACCTTATAATAAGGAAAAATGAGAAGATGGATTTTGTTTACAGTTAAAACCTACTTAGTTATTGCGCATGAACTTTGCATCAACAGGTCAATGAAGATTTTCTGGCTCTTTATCATGCGAATTACGGCATCAAATATGATTTCGGCAGTTCAGAAGGAACAAGTACTTCTGACGATAAGCCATCTGCAAAGGAACATGAGGGGCTTGAAGCGCAAAAAGATACAAAGCCAACGAATAAGGGGAAGAGGGAGAAAGCTCAGGGTAAATTGGTCCTATTTTCAAATCCCTTTTGTCTTCTGGTTTCTTCAAATTTTTTAATATTTTTCCGGCCATGAATTAAAGGATATTTTGCAGGTTGGATCAATTTTGACGAATCTCAGATCTCATCTGTTTATGTTTCCAATCTTCCAACAGACATAACGGAGGAAATGTTTGTTGTATGTTTGCTAATACACTTTCTAATTCCTGTCTTTCCATTTTTGATGGCAACAAAAGAATGACTGAGGACGAATTAAAACTCATTTATTTCATAAAATCGGAAAAGTTGTAATTTTTTGAGAAATGATACAAAGCTCTATTTTCATTTTGCTAGGATTGGTTTTCTCCTATGGTTAACGTGTTATTCACTGATGTTTTTTGCCTTACCTTGTAGTGTAACTTTAAAAATTTGTTATTTCTTGCTGGGTAGGATTTAATGAGTAAGTGCGGCGTCATCCAAAGAGATCCAAGGACCAATAAACTGAAAATTAAGTTGTATAAGGATGCGGAAGGTAATTTGAAGGGAGATGCAACCTGTTGCTACATCAAGGTACAGTCTTCTTTTTATTGCTTGTACTTGACGGTTTCCAAGTTGAGCGGTAGTATTTTCGTTGTTTATTTGAAATTACCACTTTAATAATGTTTTCAAATAAAGTTAGTTTTCAGAAATCTTGATGACTTTTTCGGAAAATCACTGTTAAACTTTTAATCGTTTTTAGAAAGGATCTGTTGATCTTGCTTTAAAAATATTAGATGGTTGGGATATCAATGGGAGAGAAATTCACGTGGAGAAAGCGAAGTATGAGATGAAAGGGGAATTTGATCCTTCCAAAAAACGCAAAAGGCTAACTGCGGCTCAGAAAAAAAAATTCCTTGAAAATCAACAACGGTAAAATGTTTGCAGTGATTGTTGTTGATAGGGATTTTTTAATACTAATGATCTTAAGATGAGCAAAAGATGTTGGTGTTCGACTGTTTAGATCGATTTTGCATAATTCATATTTCTTCCAGGATTTTCGAGTGGAAACCGGAGAAGTCACGTAATTACCGCCCAATTAGTGACTGCACGATAATAATGAAAAATATGTTTACTGTTGAAGAAATGATGGTATGTTGGGCCCTTCTGAGAGATTGTATCTTAAATCACTTTCCATAGGAAGTGAGTACAAAACGACATAGACATTGGTACTAAACTTTAAGCGTTAGAGATTACATTGGCCTACTTTTGGACGTTTGGTACTATTGCATAATATTTTTGCTTAATTTGTCACAGACAAACTTTTAGAAAAATGCTGCTCTTGTGATGGATCTTGAGGAAGAAATCCGTAAAGTTTGCGAACGATTTGGAAAGGTGAAGAAAATTCGCGTATATGACGTGAGTTTTTAAAATTAGATGAGGCTGCTTAGAAGAAGTGTAACCGTAGTCCTAACGTTCCATTGGAAGGTGTTTTTAAGAAATTATATTGTCATTTTTCTTGATTTTTTAAGAGCTGTGTTGAAACTTAAATTGGAGCAGGTGAGAATAAGCATTTCCCCTGAGCAAAATTTACCGAAGTGGAACTGGAGTTTTCCGAGTTACTGCACGCAAAATAATGGTGAATTTATTTTTTTTTCCAGAACAATCCTGAGGGAGTAATATCTGCTACTTTTGAAAACGTTGAGCAGTCTGATCTGGCAGTCAAATCACTTAACGGCCGCGTTGTAGACGGCCGCTGTATAAACGTGGCCTTATGGGACGGAAAAACGAAATATTATATGTAAGGTTTTTAAGCCGAAATTCAGATCGCTTTTCTGATTTAGCTTATCAAGCAGAAGCTGAGAAGTTAAGCTGCTGCTAGATTTTTCTGCTTAAGTGCAGGCTCAAGAAAAGTAATCTAGTGTTTATTAAATTTACAAATTTCAAGAGTGGAGACGGAAGAACAGAAACAAGCTCGGCTTGCTGAATGGCAGAAACATATTGGAGAAGGCAGTGAGGATTAAACTTTCATCGATTTCTCTTGGTTTTGAAGTGTATTGAAAGCTTTTGCAACTTGTCTTTCAGTCTCATCAGAGCCCCATAGAGTACAGATAACTACGTCGCTTTTTTGCACACGTTCATAATTGTTTACTTCTAGCCCAATCTGCATCTCTGCCTGTAAAGTCTTTTCTGAACATAATAAATTTCAAGGTATGAAATAGCACAACAGATTAAATGTTTCTGGTAGCTTACAAAAAGTTGTCTTTTACTATGGGGGAAGAGCTTTCTTTTGCACCGTCAGAAAGTACCGGTGTTTCAAAGCTCGATTTATGTTACGGAATTTGCAAGCCAGTATGCCAAGCTTTGCCCCCACCAGTCGATCGTGAGCAAAACGAAGCTGTGGTTGAGTCACTAATCTGCTGCACTGTTGTGTCGCAGAGTTCTGCTTTTTAAAAAAAGACTCACTTCACTCGTAGTAATGTTGTCTCTAGCTGCAGTCCTCTTAATTGCTTCCTCAAGTGGTATTATACAGCACCACCTTTGGTTTATCATTTGAAGTTCGTCCCACTGTGGTTCCAATGCAGACGGCGCCTCTACAATAACATAACTGCTTCCTGATTCACTGACGAGATGAACAATTCTCTCTTTGACTCTTGGCCAAAGAATGGTACGCAGACGCTTATGGTTGTCCTGAAAATTCATCTTTAGGGGAAGTTGGGGCTGAGATCACCTACCAGGCTGAAGAAACTGACTTCGTTTTTGCGGGAAAAATCGCAAATAGCCTTTCTTTTATCTGCGTCACAGAGGGCCTCGTTTTGAGAAGAACCAGTAAGTAGTTCCCTCAGTTCATTACACTCGCTCCAAAGATCACGAACTATCTCGTCACAAACAATGACCTTTAATTACTGTGACAGTTGAGGATAAGAGTGTTGAGGTTCGGGATGTTATTTCCAACAGAATTCAGTTTGCAATTTCATTTAAAAAAATCCGGGTACTTACTATTTTCTGTTTTTTGATATGTTCGTTATTTCACTGTCAACTGGTTTTTATTTAACATTTAATTTCTTGCAAACAGATACGTTAGCTCCACTGCACCAGTCGTTCAAAAAACACTATATTTTAAATCCTTGATGAATTAAAAAGTGGCTTTTCTTGTATTTCTCTATTTATGACCACTGAAGAATTTCATGTTACTTATAAATTTCATGAATAAAGCTGAACCTCACATCCTTTATTTCGCAAGATTCTGGAAACATCCGACTTCCCTGACGCAGTGCCACCCGCTAGCCCAATGACGAATGGTTTTGGGAATGTTTTATACTTCACACTATGTAAGAAAGTTCCAAGCAGCGCTCGGCGTACAGAAGATGAACTGACTTTCTGTTCTTGCAAGACATCGTCACAGGATTGGACCAAAGAAATAGTTTTCAAATCTAGTTCAGAGAGCCCTTTCTTCTGCAACCAGATATAAAAGCTAAAGAACTTTGGAAAGTCAGACAATTCTGGTAAATGTAGTATCAAAAAGGTGCGACCGTTTAGAAGTTTGTGGTAGACTTCTTGGTAATATTTGTTCAAGTGAAAACTTAGCAGAACAAGCTTACCAATCTCTCGACATTGACCGCATGACCCCCCTTAACGGTCTCTTCACTAACAATAATTGCTTCCAAGTCTGGGTCGACCGTAGAAGGCCCAAAAGAATCTAAAAGACGATGAGTTTCGCAGCGGACACTGCTGACATCCTCAACAAATTCTTTAACAGCTTCTTCTCTCACTTCAAAAGGCTGCATTAGTTCCCATAGACATTTCTCTAAAAGAGGCTCCTTGAATTGCAATTCTTAGAAAAATACCTTTTAGTAATAAAGGCAGAAACTTTTCACAGTTCACGGTAACAATTTTTCAATTCAGACTGGTTAAATTTGAAGAATTCAATCCCTTAATTACATATATACAACTAAAGTAAAATAAAACTACCGAAAAGCGGAAAGGTGAAAGAAGCTTTACTTTTAGTTTGTTCACCATAGGTAACACCACACACTACTCGCTCAGAAGCTGCAAGAGCAGATGCTGACAGTAGTACTTTATGGCCATTGTGCAAGCGGTCAAATGTTCCACCAAGAACAACCGATTTATATGGCTTTTTAATCTCCCGTGAATCTTGATCCAAATCTTTCCCGAATTCCACAAGCTTAATAAACGTATGGTTTGTTTTTTCGTCTAAAAGGACTCTAACGTCAAGCTGGTCACATACTCGAAAAGCAGTATCATAGAGATCACGTAGCAGCCCAATCTAAAATAGATTTATCACCGTATTTTAAAATCAAAGCGCATTTGATGCTGAAACAAAAACTTCACACGTATTCTACAATAAACTGGTCCGCATCAACCGAGTAAGAACATCTTACAGTGCATTTGTATACGAACGAGCAAAAATTTCAAAAACACCAGGGGGAGAAAACAAAGGGAGGCAAGCGCCGTTACAACAGTGACGATTAAAATCTAATAATCAGTTTAGCCCGGTTGCTGACAGACAATGAGATAACGTAGTTAATTTTTTTTTGGCAACAAGACTAAGCGTTACGCTATAAACAGCAATCCTACCATTAATTAAAGTATCGGATCAGTCAACTGCCTGCATAAGTTAAAATTAGACTGAATTTTAAATTAAGAAAATATTTTTGAGGAAAACTTTTTTACATTTCACCTAGGTTTTACCAACCTACTACTATAGTCTGTATTCAGAACCCGAAAATAAACTTAAAACAATTGTTGTAGGAAGAAAAAAAACGGTTCCAATAAAAAAGACAGAAAAACGTAATAGTCACACACTTACCTCATCAAAAGTTAAAGCTGGAACAATCTTGACGTACAGTCGACAGTCACTCTTCACTTTTTTTGCAGCCTCTTCTAACGCATATTCGAAATGATCAAGAGAATTCTTTGCTATCAGCACCAAACCACTAGCAGTAACATCCGTCGACATGTTTGCAAATTCAAATGTGCGTTGTAAACAAGTACACCCAATGAAGACAACGACGACAACAACAGCAACCAATTTTTCAGATAGCCATCAAAAATCACCACTGGGAAACACCGCATACTTTCTTCCGCTGAACAACATTGATCAATTACAACTGATATATTGTATTTATGCATACAAACGTTACTAAATCTGTTTGATCAATGTCAGAAACTTGACAAATAATCGCTGGAAAATATTCATTGATAAGATCAATCTTAAAACTTTTGCCAAATAGCCTAAACTGACTGTTACGCATGACAGTGACCCATTTTACTTTACCAAACTGTCATTTTTACCACTAACAACTGCACAACGAATGTTTTCAAGATTGGTTTCGAATGTTCTTCATTTTTTGTCCTGTACAATAAGTACCGAGAATGAAAATCAGCTCTGCAGAAATCTAACTTAGAACTTAGTTCGTCTGGCTCTAGACAGCTTCTGGATACTGCTTATCTCACAGCAAAATTCTGAAGTTTGCGCTTCAAAGTAGCTATCACCAGCGTCAAAATAACAGTATTTCTTCTAGCTAATGCATCCCGATCGACCACTGCAGCTTTGAAAACACTCCTTTGCGTCCAATATGAATTATATATTCTATTAATACGAAATATTCTAAAAGTAATCACTAAATGCGTAATTATATATACATATATCATTAAAAAAACTGGATCATAGCCGTAGTTTGTCCAAAGATAGTATGATGGACAAACGAGGCTATCATTCGAGGGGAATGGTAGCGCAGTAAAGCTTGAAGTTATCTGGAGCTAAGCTAAAAACAATAATGTCTTGACGCTTACAGCGTTATCTTCTCCATAATTCTCCCAAGTTAGACATACCACAAATTTGAATCAGACGAGATTTTTTCTTGCGATACGAATCCATAATTTTTGACCAATGTCAACCCTGATTATAACAATTCTTTTTAACGTTTTCCTCTACAGAAGCAGTGTTTCGCAATTTTGATTGGCGGCGGAAATTTTACAGCATCAAAACAAATTCTAGCAGTTCACGTTTAATTAAATTGGAGTAGCTGGAACTGTTTGAACAATTAAGTAACTTTCAAAGTCTTACTTCTTTAAGGACATCCGCGTGCGTTTTATATTTAAATTAAAGATTTTGAAACTGCAAAGTTTTTTCGGTGAAGAAGACTAAATTTAAGAATTTATATGCATTTCTCCAAGGGACCTTAGATCACTACAGATGAAACACTAAAGTGACGGATTTTCTAATTTCTATAAACGACACAGTAAACAGCAGTTATTCCATGTCGTCAATAAACCCATCAACGTCTTTGTGTGAATGAAGACCGGTTGAGATAAAATATAAGAAATATGGCAGACAGGAACTAGAGTAATACCAAGATGTGGAATTTTCTGTCCCAAAATTTCACCTGTGATTCAGGACTGAACCGCGAATTTTCCTTAAATTTCACCAATGATTCCTGCTTTCTTCATTTTTTTCCTTAATTCTTTACAAGTTTTTGCCATTTCCCTAGACGATTTAAAAAACCATTGTGTACCATCAGCTGAAAAAAAAAAAAACTAATTAGCATCTTGTTTTCATGAATAGAAGCTGATTTATTATTATATTCTTATACCCTTATACCTTCGAAGTCCATATCTGTCTCAATTATCTATAATGCTAGGGTAAAAAAGCTTACAGGTACTTGACATTTGCCATATTTAGCTGTAGACTAGAAACGAGTTCCAACTTTGAAATAACAGCGCTGATCATATCGTTGATGCGGACACCAGATTTATAAGGCATTTCTTCTGCTAAAAAAAGCCCCATTACCTAACGGGATCAACCCTCAGAGGTTCGTTACCAAACCTTTTCTCGCTCGTCTTTTAATTAGGTCCTTTTTAGTTGTAATGGAGGAAATATAAAAATTTTATTCAAATTACACTTCGGTACACTTGGACAGGCCCATACCATTACGCAGTGTTTGTAGACAAAGAACGCTTCTCTGTAATTGCCACGCAACTTGATATTAAAATTATGGAACGAAAATGGCAAAAGACCGAAGGCTCAACAAAAAAGCTTTTAGTATTACCGACCCGCTGTTGTTCTTTTCTCTGTTCACAGGAAAAAGTGCTCGAAATGTGATGGAAATCCATTATTTAGATAACGGAATCGTCATGCTGTAAAGTCTGTTATAAATACACGTTAAAAACAATATTTATAAAGCTTAAAAAAAAAAAAACTTCTTTATGCCTTTCCTTTTCTTTATTGTTCAATAACTGTTCACGGTGACTCTCCCGGTCGGTCTGTCACCAAAGTTTGCTGCTTTACTGCCACGCTGGTCTCCAATATTGAATAACAAGACGTTTATTTTGAGTTCGACAATACAACACGCGAATCAAACTTTCTTCAACAAACTCTTAAGTCAGTAGTAAATTATTACTTTTTTTTTTATTATTTTACATTTATTTCCAGTCGGTATACAGTGAAGTTAAGGATGCTGTATATGTTATAATTCTCAATGTTCTACTTTCAGTGGTATTCGCAAATCAACCAAAAACCAGTGACAATGAAATTCTTTAATTACGGGGTTTACCGATCGATACATTAGACGAGCAGCAACTATACGGTGGCAAAAGACTTGGAATGTAAGCAAAACGATGACTTGACAGCTCATTTGTGAAGAAACCATTTGCGAAGCCATTTTGAAGAATTTTCTGGATAACTGAAAATAATGCAGAAGTATTTTCCATAAGTAGATAGGAAATATAGACCAAAAAATTTCGCAGTAAGGTAAAAAGATGGTACTTATACAGTGGGAAAGTTTCTGGAAACGTGTCAAGGTACCTGTAGAACTTTAACGATAAAGTGATTACCGAGGCCGACTAGACAAGATGTGAGCATTTTTTCTTTCAATGCAGCTGACTGATCTGTCTATATACTTGAAAGATAAAAAATTTCTTTTGTTAATGATATTTCGTTTAAATGATTGTTTTAAGCATCAAGAGATTTATTATTTTATCGACTACCCATGGACTGAAGGCCTGAAACTTGAAGTACTTTTTTTTCTGTATTTTTCAACTTTATCTCTTCTTGTCCGATTCCATCTTGCTCCTTTTTTTGTCAGTGCAATTAGTCTAAAGACTGAGCATTTTGAGCCACTATCCTGCGGGTTTGCTTGTTCAAACTTGATACTTAAAAAGAGAACATTAAAACAGATTCTCATTAAAAAATAGAAAAAAAATTTAATTTAAACCTGAGTTTTCAATGTAAAATTATATCAGTTTTTAAAACAGTTTGTACAAGGAAAATATTCCGTTTCTCTTTTTTTTTCAGAAATTTATTACGTAATTAAATTATGTTTTCAGCATCGATCCTTGTAAAACAAAATTTGCAGTGGACTTTTAAAGTAGCAGTAATCTGAAGAATTTTCATTTTTTCCACAGTTCCCAAAATATTACTGTCTTAAAAATACAGTTCTAAAGTGAATCGTTATCAATGCTGATCAATCATCAATCGTTGTCAACGTCACGAACACACAGATTCAATCCGACCTCCAGTAAAACACAAATACTGGATCACCTACATTTCAATGGTGTGGAAAAATATACGCTGTTTTGAAGGTTGATTTCATCTGCCTTTTATTAAAAGCTTTTGAATCAATTTGGACAAGCTACAATGATCATTTCTGCTGTTAAACGTTCTGCAATGGAACAAACAACAAAGACAGATTACTCAGCAGTTCATTTACCTATACTTACATTTTTTAACATCAGTCTGTCATGGAACCTTTACGCTTTTTGTAATGTGTAAGGCCTTAATGTGCTTTGGAGCAAACACTCACGTAGTGACAAATGGAATAGAAACCCCATGATTTTATGAAATGAGTCAGCTTTTCCATACAGTGGTGTCGTGTAGAAAACTGTACTTAAGGTCAAGTTTTCAACAGTTTTTCAAAACAGGTATTATTGTTCGCTAAAATACTCCTTAACGCTTAATATGTTCAATTAACTCATTTCTTTCTAGTAAATACCTACAATTGTAAGCTTTTGTTGTGAAACATCAAAATTTAACGAATATCAAAAAAGAACAGCGCAATAATTGAATAAAAAATCTGCCTCAGAAAACTATGAGTGTACTTCGAGTAATACAGACAAAGTAGGCAATTCTAAATGCCGCCTTTCAGCCCTATTATTTGAAGAGAATATAACGACGAGTGTTGCCTATAATTCCAGCTAACTTTAGTTACCAAATACACCTCTACATTCCTAATTTCTTGATGTGCTTAAACAGGGTTTACCAAAAAACTGGGATCTTGAACAATGTATTACTACAAATATTTTCCATTAATTTCTTTCTCTGAATACAAAGTGCAAATGTTGACTGCAGTCTCACTGAAAAAATACGGCTGGAGGAAGACTGATCTACAAGTTTTAACAGTTATAATTCAATAATCAATTTTTTTTTTTCATTTGATGACTTGTATTCTGGTGAACCGTATTCTTTGATTTCATCCCCGAGATACAATTCAAAAAAAGAAAAAAAAGAAACATTTTACGAATTAAAATATAACTGACAAATTACAACTGCATTAGTCAGTTTAGTTTCTTAGCTTATCGATGTGTTTACTAAAAAACCTTTTGACAAGCTGGTCAAATTATACTCGTTTCTACTTATGCCGTATCAATTAGGTCACAGTGTCCAAACGGCATAGAAAGTAGAAGTTTGTGAATACGCGACAATTAATCAGCGCTCAACGATGCAGTATAGTTAACGACTTCGAACACGGTGTCACATGTAACTGCCATTTGTACATCAAACAACAGATAAATCATTTGAATGTATAAGCAAGAAAAGAATATTCCAATCTATATTTTATAAAATTTCATTTCTTCAATTAAAATATCATTCTTTTTTTTTTTGAGAAATATTTAAAACTTTTATCTTCTACAAAGCTAGGCAGCTATCAGTTACGATATATTTATACATACATGTATCCAACATCAAAAATTCTGCATTATTAATACGACATGACTTCCAGTGGCACATAGCAATTAAAACAATAACTAAAGCTGCAAAAAAAAAAGAAGAACCGGTAAATCTTGGATTAGTAATACTTAAAACGAATTTGCTGCTAAAATTGGCGTCCTAAGTAAAACGTGGTCGGCTCCACGTATCGGTAACGGATGTGTCCGATAATACCGTATTACACTGGCAATTGAAGTAAACGATGGACCTTCACCGAGCACCCAAAGATTATTATGAAGCTTAAAAGTAGGAAAATTATTTTTAATCTAAACCAAACAGTTATCCTGCAGACAAATAAACATCAATTCAGCTATTCCTTCTATTTTCCAAATAAAATGACAAATGATTAACTGTAAGCATTTACTCCAATTGAAATTATTGAAAGCGGGTCAAATGAAAGTAGGTCAAATGTCGCCGATTACCTCAAGTTTTATGTGTAAAACCTTCTTGGTGGCTCGAATCGACAAAGCTAAACTGTTGTTTTGTCGTAACCGAATTAAAAAGGTGCCGACATCACAGTTAATCAGACGACCCTCTGCCAAGACTCGATCGACATCATAATGGATGAAGTCCCTTTCAAAGTATCCTTCTCTTCCCAAAAAAATTCCATTTGTTCGACCTAAATATCAGAAAGTATAGTATTAATCAACGTCTCTTGAATTCATTAATCCGATGACCTATGAGCATTTTTTGCATTGTTCAGCATCTGAATCACAGAACATCTTAAAGACCAGCAATCTACTAAAACTATAAGAAACGTTAACAAAATTCTTTTATTCTTTTTTTTTCTAAAAGGTCTTTGAAGAGACTTAAATTAATGATTTTCTGTTGAACCAACACACCAAAATCTTTCAAGAACCACACTTAACACCCACTTAGCTTCCTTTGTTGGCTGTCAAAACAGTTGCGAAAATAAAAAGTGATGTAATTCGACAGCACCAAAAATAGGATGTGCCAATTTTCTTCTTCCGTTAATAAATTAGTATCCAATTCCAAAAAAA